ATTTCAATTCTTTTGTATTGGATTATATTATCCCTCCGTGCAGCACTTTGGCCGACACTTGATGTCTTTTAAATGTGCTATATGAATAAAACTGACTTGACAGATTGCTAATATTTTGTAAATGATTGTATTTTAAATCTTCTGATGGGTAAATTATGCGCTGAGGATTGCACCGGTGGCCTGTCACATGGAATGTTTTAAAAAGGCACCCTGCTGCACAAAGAAGCCACACCCCCACCTGCGCCTGCTCCACGGAGCCGTGTGGCCAAAGAGAGCGAGAGTTACAGAGGTGATGATACATGAGATGTAGCTCTGTATCTCTGACGCTCCACCCAAGTCTCCACACCAGGCTGAGTGATGCACATATTAGAACTACATTCTAAACACAGGCTCAGCTGCTCAGTCCTGTTGCATGCTGAAGCATTGCATGAAGCAGGGCAACTTGATTTACAACACAGTAATGAACACTTTTGAAAAACATCACAAAACTAAAGAATGTAATAAAAAATCAAACTCTGGGGTTGAAATTTTGAATATTCAAGAATCTCCAGGAAGGGTTAAGGAGCATGCACGCAGGAAAAGACCAGCAGCAATGTGCCAGGATGGCACAGCCATACATGCCCTTGGAAGAAGGTTTGCCGTGTCTCACAGCAAGAGTGTGGACAAGACAGCAATAGATGGGCCATTACATGAGTGGTCACAGCTGTAGAAAGGCATCAACCCAGGAACATGATCAGTAACTACTCCTGTGCAAAGAACAGGGGGAGCTCTGCCAGAACTCCAGTGGGCTTCTGTGCATGGTCAATCTTCAGACCCAGTACCACCCTTATGCTGCACAGTGGGTCCCGGGTTCCTCCTCGTGTGGATCAATGCCTGACCTTTTGTTGCCGAAGATTGAACTAATCATTTCATTCAAGTGTGTTGATCCAGGGTGAGCTCTAAAACCTGCAGGTCCCTCGGGGCGTGGAGTTGCCCACCCCTGGTGGAAGCATTCAACATCAGTGTCTCCTGCTGAGCCCTCCCCACTTCACACCAGTGACCAAAACACAAACAGCATGTATAACTTACATTTTCAAACCCCAAGCAGGCAATTAAGAGCGCGTTGTTTGTAATAATGATCGGACAAAACAGTTTTCCACACCTTTAATGTACAGTGCCAAGATAAGCCTTATCAGTTATCAGTGCTGCCTCACTAGGGTGTGTGTCATTTGAACACTTGAGTGGATTTACATGGTGAAGGATGGTGTGACAGCAGGCATTACAAGAATGATAACTCCACCCTGCTTTGAGATGTTGTGACCTTTGGTTCACATTAAATCGTCTGCAAATGCAGACTCCACTGCAATCACCCGCTTTGTTCACAGAGCCGCTAATGCTACGAGTCATCGGCTAAGCAGAGAGGAGCAGAGCTATGAAAGTATGAATGAAAACACGAGGTGAGAAAAGTCCTTCTTATCACAACATGTGTGTCAACATCTGCATAGAGAGAAAAAGTCACTTTATGTTTTCATCATTTGTGACTCCGACCCTGAAATCTTCAGCACTCATTTAAAAATAGCAACAATATTAGCACAGATTTAAAGAATAACAGTGTCCTAGCTTTCTTGTCAAATATGAAGCTATCGATAGCAGCTGGTTAGCTTAGCACAGGGGTGGGCAATCTCAGTCCACGAGGGCCGGTGTCCTGCAGGTTTTAGACGTGTCCTCGAACCAACACAGCTGATTTAAACGGCTAAATTAGCTCCTCAACATGTCCTGAAGTTCTCCAGAGGCCTGGTAACGAACTAATGTGATTCAGGTGTGTTGACCCAAGGTGAGATAAAACCTACACCGGCCCTCGTGGACCGAGATTGCCCAGCCCTGGCTTAGCATAAGGAAGTGAGAGGAAATGGTTAACACTAATTTGAGCATAATCAGCCATGTCCGACTCAAAGATGCACACACCCCCTAACGAACCTGCTTATGCTGATATTCAAACACAAACTTGGCTGGTTTGGCCACAGACGTCTTTGACACTGTGGACTCACTCAAATATTTTTACATACTCACCAGATAGCTAGCTAGCTAAAAGCAGCAGCAGAGCCTGAACCACAGACAGCTGTGTCGCTATCGTAACAGTGTGAAGCGTCCCCAAGAGAACGGCTCGAGGCGTCTTTCTCATCCCACGGCTGAAGACCAGGCCAGAAATAAGGCAAAGCACCCTGAACCCCGAGATGAAGTAAATGTGATATATGTTATTAGCTTTAGCGGCTTTTTTAAGGCTTGGTGAGTCTTTAGCCTTAGCATGAGAATCTGTGGACACATATTTCAATCTTCTTAGCGCCAATGAGACAGCACATTTTTAAAACTGATAAAATACAATCTGTAATAAAAAAACTAAAGGTGACACTTATTTAAACCAATCAGAAAAGAGCTTCATAACAATGACGTGATGTAGTTAACACACTGCAGGTGTAGTTTCCCAGCGTACTCTGAAGCTAAACACACATTGAAATTAACACCAGTCAGAGTGAAATAAGCTCAAAGACTTGAGAGATGCGCCTGTGACCGACTGCTTTAATGTCTCAGCTTCAAGATGTTTTGATTTTCACAGTAAATCAGTTCAGATAACTGCTTATATTTTCTATGTGATGAGTGGACGCACTAAAGGCAAAGACAGGAAAGTTCAGCTTACAGGATCCAGACTTCTACAAAAGCTTCCATAATGAAGACTATAGGAAATTAAACAGCATCCAAATAAGTGAAGGTCTGATTTGTTAAAGTATGGAGGGTAGCTCGAGCTGGCACAGGACAGAGCCAACTGTCCCTCCTACCCTTCCTCTTCTTTTTCCGTCCATCTGTGCATTTGGGATATGATCAAGTGTGGGAAACGGGTTTCTTTGCAGCGGGATGTTGTGGATGATTCGTCCGGATTCTTGGGAGCTCCTGTTTTCTGGGGTGTGTTGTGTGGTTGGGGTTCAGGAGTATAACTGATCGTTTAATTTGTTGCTGCTTTCGGCCTCTGTGTCGAGAGTGTGTGTGGAGGCATGTTTTTGTGGTTTCTCCATGTGGAGCTTGAAGAATCGAGGTCTGGGAAAAAATCAGATAAGAAAATTAAGTGCAAATGTTCATTTACATGCAACTGAAATGTCTTCATCTGTGTGAACTCACTGGACGCGTTTCCCGACTGTGTGGCAGTCGTTCCATCGGATCCTCCTCCTCCTCTTCCACCAACATACTG